GGTCTGTTACCATGACCAAAGGTGTCACTTACGGTCCTTGCAGGAACTTTGAAAAGTAAGACGCAGAAAATGTACCAGTAACACTGTCTAACACACCCCCCAGAACAGCCCCTGTGCGCCTGGACAGTCCCCATGAGATCCCTGCCATGGTGGTGGAGGATGGACACTCATGATGGGCACCACTGACACAGATCCCCATTTGCATGTACAGGCAGAGCAGGAACCCGGGTCTGAGACAGAAATGCAGGAGGGAAGGAAGCAGAGCCAGAACTTTCTGGGCTTGCTGTGGAGTGTGGACCAGGACCAGCACTGCAGTGACCGATGGAGAACAGCCCCTGCCCCCAGTTCCCAAGAGTAGATGGGAAAGGCCTGTTCAGGGATGCTGGAATTGTATTTTCCTACCTAACTCCTGTTTCTAAAGCCATTCACTCACACCATGCTTCACCCACCCCTGCCTGCTTTGCCCATGACGGCCACCGGGCACACGGCAACACAACCTGCCAGGGTGCACAATTCCGAGGGGACAGGGCAAGCCCTGCTCTGTCTGGAGAACGGGATGGCTCTGTCCCTTGCCTGCTGCTGATGGGTTTTTGCACCTTCCTCTGGGGCACCTCCCTGCCCAGCAGAGCACAATCCCAGGCACTGGCCCCAGGTGCCGATGGCAGACGCAGGTCAGGACAGGCTCTCTGCTGAAGCGGCTGCCGGCACACAGGGATGAGCTGGGCTGTGTGACAGCAAAGGACAGGAGTCTGTGGCCTGCAGCAAATTGCTCCCCAGTTCCTCTCCCTCCTGCAGCACAAGCCTGGGCTGTATGGAGGAGAAAACTCGGTTTGCTGAAGAAGGTCCTCAGTCCACCTTGGAGAACACTGGCCACCCCTCCGGCCCTGGCAGTGCTAGGCAAGTTATTTACACTAAAATTTTCACAGGTGGCCACAAATTACACCTTCGTTGCTTTTCCAGGTGCCCTGTGTAAGGCACCCTGAGCCAGATGTTCCGGAATGCAGGATGCTGAGAGCTACAGCCGCAGCTACAGGGCCTGGCTGGCTGCCCCATGCCCACCTGGCTGCCCCGTGCCCACCTGTGGCCACCTGGCTGATTGTGTCACCTCCACCGGCCCTGGGAGGGGCACTGATCACCATGGCACTCTGTTGCCTTGTGCTCCTCTCTCTCTGCTCCTCTCCTTCACCCCTTCTCTGAGGCCTTTTCCCTGCTTAGCCCTGCACTGCACGGCTCCTTTAGTGTTCTGGCAAGGAATAAGTGTATCAAGTCCGAGCGATTATCTCTAATTAGGGTTAGTGATTATACTGTCGGGTCAGAGAAAATCAATCTCTGGTTTCCCATCAGGAAGGGCAGGGAGAGCCGGGCTGGGGAGGGAGGAAGCCCTGGCAGCTCCCTGTGTGCTCTAATCCCTCCCACGAGCCTATCCCTGCCCACAGCACTCTGGTGCTCCCAGTTACAGGAGCGGGAGCTGTGTGGGAGCTCTGTCTGAGCGGTGGCCCCCAGGGCACAGCCTCTTGGCTGGGACGAGGCAGGGGGAGAGCAGAGTCGGGGCTGGTGGCACGGCAGGCCCAGCGTGGCCAGGTGCTCTCACCCCCACCGGGCACCCCCGCAGGATGGGCATGCAAGGGCGGGTCCTCCCCTTGGGGCCGTGGGGGCTCGTGCCCCGTGTGGAGGCACAATGCAGCACGATGGAGCCACAGAGGTTCCTGTGAAGGGCAGAGTGGAGGCCCTACATGTCCTCTAGGCACAGGATTCGCCCAGTGACGGCACAGAGACACCTTCCACTAGACCAGGATGCTCCAAGCTCCACCCAACCTGGCCTTGCACACTTACAGGGATGGGGTAGCCACAGCTCATGAGTGTCAGCAACTAAAAGGGCCTGACGGGCCTCAGAGCAGAGTGTTTGCTTTGGGGGCATGGGATCCAACCTACACAATGATGAAAAATCCCCAGAACTACTATTGCAGTCATACCAACCCTTGCCCAAAACAGCCTCTAACATGTTCCCCCTGCTCCAAGTGCCTGGGACAGACTCTGAGCTCTGAATGACAGCAGTGGTGGAATGAGCTAAAAAAAGGCCAAGTTTATGAGAAAGAAAAAGCAATGCCTGGGCTCCAGACTGGGGGCACAGAGTTAGTGGATACTTCTGGCACTTTTGGCTTCATCTTCTCTTTGTCTCAGTGTTCCTTCTTTAGAAAGAAATCAGGACAGCTGAGATAACCAGGTTACAACGCTCAGAAATATGACACTCATCCTAACTCCAGCATAACCTAGCAAATAAAACCTCGAGCTGATCTAGCAGAATCTCAGCCGTCCAGGTCTCTGTCCAGCACCAGAACCGGGCACCAAGGATTGCTGGTCCTATCCTGCCCTGTGTCATCCTGCCTGTCTCCCACCATATTCCTCCTCTCCCCATGGAGTCCTGACAATTTCTAGCTTCCACTCCATGCAAACTCTCGAACCAACAGCTCCAGCCTCACATTTGGATTCATCCTTCTCCTTCAGACACCCAGATAAACATTCGCAAGAGGTTACCATATGAATGTAATGATGAATGTATAATATTTATAATATACCTATGAATTTGCAGTATTTTATACATGATTCATGATGCAAGATATTAATTACAGATAAATTTTAGTAAATCTCTCATCTTGGCTCCATCTTCAGACTACAAACAACTCTTTAACACATTATTGAGAAGGGCAGAGGTCCCACACTGAAGAACAGACAGACCCTCACTCTCTTCCTTTCAGTTCGGCATCCCCATGTCCGAGTTACAGAATCCCAGACTGGTTTGGGTCCAAAGGGACCTTAAAGATCATCCAGTTCCACCCCCTGCCCTGGCCCTTGGTTGAACACTAGTGGCAAATGTTGGGCTTCTCCAGCTGGACTCCACAGAAAGCCAAGTGAGCAGAAATCACGGCTGAAGAAAGGGATGGTGTGTCCCCACACCCGTCACTGAACGAGCTGTGCAGGGCTACTGCCCCCAGCCTGGTCCTGAGCAGCCATGGATTTCAGAGCAGGTGCCACACGCCACGCAGGTAACAGAACAGCCACAGGACTAGGGGCAAATCCAGGGGGCAGAAAAATCCATCCGGCTTTCCCTTACAAAGGATGGAGCTCGTGTTACTTGGGAAGTCCCCAGACACAGGCCAGGGCAGGGTGACAAGAGCTGCTCCACCATCCACAGACATTTGCCAGTAAGAAAAGCAACTTTGTTCCAGAAGTGCGAGCTGAGCTTTCCCTCCTCAGTCCCCAAATTCCCTGCTCTGACCTGAAGAATCTGTTGCACAACCAGGCAGGAGCTGATGCACCAGCATCCTGTCTGCCATGACCTGCGCCACCCTGCTCTCACTGCTCTTCTTCCCTCAATGTCATTGTCCCCCACGGCGAGCAGTGGTGTGCCAGGGAAACAGGTTTTCCCTTTTCTTTGTTAATTCTTCCCTCATTACATTTGAAATTCCACAATCAGTGTGCACTGTAATTGTCGAATTTGATGCTAATGATTAATGAATTAAACATGGATCCATCAATTAGTCCTCAGAGAATAATTCTGCATAAAGCAGCGGATAATGTAATTACAGTAACAAAGATAATGAGATGTTAACATCGACGGAGCCCGACGTGACATGATCACAGCAGGCTCAGCAACCCCGGCCTGGGGGAGCCAATCCCTCACTCTGCAGAGGCAGAGCATCGGGGGGCACGGGCCTGGCAGAGGGGGGGCCTGACACTGCATTGCTCCCCCAGCAGCAGCACCAGCACCGTGCTCTCCTCCCGCATGCCTCGTGCAGCTCCTGGCCATCCGCTCCAGAAACCACAACGGAGCTGCCAGGCAAACGAACCCAGCAAAGATCCTGAGCTGCCTGCACAGCCAGCACCATCCCCTGCCATCCCAGTTTTTGGGAGTGGCTGAGGCCAGTGCAGGCTCCCTCCTGCCACCACACCCAGCACATGGGGCCAGGGACAGGCACCGTGCCATGCGCCAGGAACACCCCTGCCCACGTTGTGGAGCTGAGAGTCGGTGCCAGCGCACTGAATTTGGCCCTGGACAGACAGACCCTTGTCACCCCGGAGCAAAAACAAGCATCAGCCAGGCCCTGCACCGCAAGCAGTAGTTCCCACCACTGTCACCTCAGAAAACGCTCTCCCTGGGCTGCAGGAGCAAGGCTGCAGGAGGAGGAGGAGGAGGAGGAGGAGGAGGAGGAGGGCTCACATCCCACCAGCCCCAACACATGTGGACTGCCCTCTGGCAGTGGGAAGCCATTCCCTGTGTCCTGTCCCTCCATGCCTTGTCCCCAGTCCCTCTCCAGCTCTCCTGGAGCCCCTTTAGGCCCTGCAAGGGGCTCTCAGGTCTCCCTGGATCCTTCTCTTCTCCAGGGGAACCCCCCCAGCTCTCCCAGCCTGGCTCCAGAGCAGAGGGCTCCAGAGCAGAGGGATCCAGCCCTCGGAGCATCTCCGTGGCTTCCTCTGCACAGCAGGATCTCAGCCAATCTAAAATAAATCCAAGTCTGACCACATTAAAGTCACCTTCTTTAATGGTTCAAATACCAGGGCACAATCATGGTTGAGCTCAGAGTCCCTGCAGCTTTCACAAACACAAGCTCCTCCCTCATTCCCACTGTACTTAGCTCGGAGTTGTCTGTACCAGGCATTATTTTGAATCCTCACCAGAGTGCTGCATCTGTGTATTTTATAAAGAGTAAGACTTTAAATTTTTTCACTGAGTTCCCTCGAGGAAACTCCTCAAGGTTTCATGCCACCATTTAAGCCCTTTGACTTTCTTCTGTCCTGGACGCCAACCAGCACAAAAACCCAACAGCAGCTTACCTGGGACTCGCACAGAAATGCCAACATCCACCGAGGGGACTCCTCGAGGGTGTCAAAAACAAGACACTTACGGAGGGATTTTGTTCCCAGCTCAGAAAAGCAAGGGGCTGCTGATGTATCAAGAGAAGGACAGCTGCCAGCTCTGTGTCTCCCACACCAGCTCTTACCTGTGCTTCCTGCCAGCTGTGAGCTGCTCCGCTCCTTGGCCAGCCCATTGGCTTTGGGGCTGGCACTGGGTGCTGCTGCCGTCGTGGCCCTGGGGAGCCGCTTGCCCGGGACCTTCACTGTAGTTCTCAGCAGATCAATCTCCTTCCCATGGACATTCTGCATGTAGTCCTGGAGCAGAGAGGCAGAAGGGTTGAAGAGAGGCAGAAGGTTGCCTCGGTCCCACACGCTCAGCTACCTTCTCATCCACAGAACCAACACTAAACCCAGATCCATCCTCTCCCCCATCCCCAGAACTAGCATTAAACCCAGATCCATCCTCTCCCCCATCCCCAGAACTAGCATTAAACCCAGGTCCATCCGCTCCCCCATTCTCAGCATCAGCACTAACCCCGAATCCATTCACCCCCACGGGAACTGCTCACAGGCAGGTGTTAATCAGTGACTTGAGGTGATCTGGGAGCTCAGCATGTCCTAGTATCTCTTGGACTACATCAAAGCCTCACGGTGGGCCAGAGGTGAAAGACCCCAGGACTCTCCCAGTGCCTGCAACTGTTTCCTGACAACAGAAATGCAAAGCCCTGACTCCAGCCTGCACAGGACTAGCTGGTGCTGTGGAGCTGGCTCTGGAGAATGCCCAGGACAGCTTTGATGTGAGTAACACTGGGACACTGCCACGGGCAGTTGGATGCCAGGACAATCCCATTTGGGAGAGCCTGGTTGGGGATCAGAGATCAGATTGAGCCAAATGGCACACAGGCAGACGGCAGCTCCTCCTCCCTGTCATCCCTTGTTTAATTACAGCACTCAGCTGTGACAGTTAAGAATATAATATAACTTAACATTAACATAACATAATATAATATAAGTGCAGTGTAATCAAAGGGATACCTGGAAATTTCCTCTCAGTTCACAGCTGGATTAATTGAAGCCCAAACCAACACAACTCAGGTAGTTTCCTTGCACATTCACTTGCAGAGTTTCCTGTTATTCAAAGCTTGATGTTTCCACCATTTCATCTGGTGGACAATTTATTACACAGCCAAAACCCCACACACAGACTGCAACCATCACTCTGCCTTGTCTCCTCACAGCATCTCAGCTTTCAGTCAGAATGAGAGTGCAGACCTGCAGCCTCTCCTGAGTGCTGTGCCTCTTCCTGT